CGGCAAAAGGACGCCTCTGGTCGAGTCAGGAGGCTTTGAAGCCTCCTATTCTCGTCTATGGTGCCGCTCCACAAACGCCCGGCCGGCGTTTGCGGTGCGGTTGCGACGCGGTTGCGGGGCGTTTGCGGAGCGGTAAAACACCACTCAAATGCATTATAGGCGTTTGTGGGGCGTTATTAACGCTCGGCAAACGCCTAGCAACCGCCGCTAAACCGCGCATGCGGCGTTTGCGGAGCGTTTGCCGAGCGTTTAAAAACGCTCCGCAAACACCGGACCAACGCTTGCCAAACGCTATAGGGGCGTTTGGCAAGCGTTGGCAAAACAACCTAGTGTGAACGAGCCCTAAGGGACCTTAGAATTGTGCGCTCCTTAAGGGTTAGGGACTGATGTGAATGTACAATATATACATGTAAAGCACTGCATGAAGTGATGATGCTATATAAGTACCTGTAATAAATAAATAATACAGCCAGAGGGGGCTGTACACATGCCACAACCATGATGCTTTGTATGGCTTAACCACTTGCCTAGCGGGCACTTTTACTTCCTTCCTACCCAGGCCAATTTTCACCTTTCAGCACTGTTGCACTTTAAATGACAATTGTGCGGTCATGCAACACTGTACCTATATGAAATTTTTATACATTTTTTTCACACAAATTAAGATTTCTTTTGGTGTTATTTAATCATCACTGGATTTTTTATTTTTTTTTGCGCTATAAAAGAAAAAATTTGATTAAAAAATGTGTTTTTCTTCGTTTCTGTTATAACATTTTGCAAATAAATAATCTTTCTACACAAATTTAGGCCAAAATGTATTCTGCTACATGTCTTTGGTGAAAATAACCCAAATCATTGGGTATTATTTAGTTAGTAGGAAAGTTCTAGATTCCACAAACTATGGTATATATCTAAAAATGTATAAATTCTGATGTACTGACGGCTCTTCTCATTTCTTGAGGCCTAAAAACGCCAGGACAGTACAAATACCCCCAAAATGACCGTTTTTTTTTGGAAATTAGACAGTCTGAGGTATTTAGTAAAAGGCATGGCGAGTTTTTTGCAGTTGCAATTTTTGTCATAATTTTGTGCAAAATGAAGAAGTGGGAAAAAAATGTTCACTTTTTTTTTTAATACACTGTCACCAATGCAGTACAGCGTCATCATATTACTGGAGTGGTGAGGATCAGGGACACCAACTGGCGACAGTATGTAAAAAAAAAAACCCAAAAAATTAATAATTAAAAAAAATGTTTTAATCCATTTTTTTATTACATATTTTTTTACAATTTTTTTTTTTTTTACTCCTGTGACCAGAGCAAAGCAATGTTACCATAGTATGTTACCAAGTGATTCAGATTTAATTTTTTCTACATACATATTATGATTGCTTATAGCAACAAATTACATTGGTATAATCAAGCATTTTTACTGAATGAAACTGATTTATTCAGTAGTTTTTGTTGTGATTAGCTGTGATTGGCCATAGCTGATCACATGCTACAGATGGGCTGTGAATGGGCCAGCCTGTACATGTGACCACTGTGACCAATCACAGCTCGCAGCACAGTTGTAAACAGTGAATGACATGTAAGGAAGCCATTCATTGTTTACAACTGTCATGTGGTCTGCTGTGATTAGTCACAGCGATCACGTGACACTGGCAGCGGGCTGGTGTAGTGGACACAGCCGGTGACAGATCGTGCTGGAGCACGGCCCGTGGGACACGCGGAAGACACATTCACGGGAAGACATCATATGACATATAAGGGTTCCCACTCGGCCGTCATCATATAATAGGCAGGGAGGGAAGGAGTTAATATGGCTTGTTGAGTTTACAGGTGGCACCACCTGACAACCTCGCCCTATTAAGTAAATAGATGCAGTGTGTTTGATCCCTTAACCACTTCCCGACCAGCCGTTGCATATAAATGGCTGGACGGTGGCACTGCAGGGTCGGGTGGCCATTTCTAAACGGCCTCCCCGCACCCTGCTTGTGCGCGCTCTCTGGGAGCGCACAGCACCGCGATCTGGTGCCCGCTGTGTCCTCGGGACACAGTGAAACACCGATCGTCGGACGGGACCTCTATACGAGGTCCCGATCATGTGATCACTGATTGGCCAATCAGTGATCACATGCAAAGTAGTAAGCAAGATGTCACTTCTGACATCATTGCTTACTACGTGTGAAATCTGTGAATGATCACAGAGGTCACATGGTACAAGGCTATTCACAACAGCCTTGTACCATGTGACAAGCTGTGACCAATCACAGCTCACTCAGTACTTCTCAATGACTGCAAGAATGCAGACAGAGAGAAGGAGAAATGATTGCTTTTACATCCTATATGGGTGTAAAAGCAATCAGTGTAAAAAAAAAAAAAAAAATCTTCATCACCCCCCACAAGTAGTACAGTGTCACCATGGTGACACTGTACTGCTAGGGTGACAGTATGTAAAAAAAAAAAAAATAAATAATATAAAAAAAAAAAAATGTAAAAAAAAATGTTTAAAAATTATAATTTTTGGTTATAAACTAATTTGGATTTTTTTTTTTTACTAAAAAGAAAATGGAATAAATTTTGGCCAATATTTATGATGAAATATTATTTATTTGCAAAATGTTATAAAAAAACACTTTTTTTCAAAATTTTTGGACTTTTTCATTTACATAGCAAAAAAAATAAAAATCCCAGTGGTGAATAACTACCACCAAAATAAAGCTTTATCTGTCTCAAAAAAATGGTAAAAAAAATTAATTTGGGTACAGTGTTCCATGACCGCGCAATTGTCATTCAAAGTGTGATAGCACTGAAAGCTGAAAATTGCCCTGGTCAGGAAGGGGGTAAAAGTGTCCGGTCTGGAAGTGGTGGTTAAAAAGAAAAATAAAAAACAGGCATTCAGCAGGCAGCAGAAGCACCACTTGAATGTCTGAAAGTGCCTGCTTATGTGCCTCTGAAAAGTGTTTCCCCATGGATCACTTTTCAAGTGTGAACGTAGCTTAAATGAGTTTTAAAGTAAGACCCCACTGATCTCTGTAGCTATTGGCACTGTGTACCAAATCTTCATTACCCTGCCCCTCCTCCCAGCAGTCACTCAGTAACTCTGCTCCCCCTCCCAGCAGTGACTCAACAGCTCAGCACCCCCTGCTCCTTACTTCTGTCAGTCACACGATAGCTCAGGTGCCCTTGGGCTCCCCTCCCAGAGCACCTGTCCAGTGTTGTCACCATGAGAGACAGGCTTGTAGTTCCCAACGGAATACAAGTGCTGTAATCACCTCGCTTGTAGTCCATTGACACTTCCTCTAACTCTGCAACTCAAAACCTTTACAGAGGGCTATAGGAAGAGTCTGCAGGAGCCTGGCATTGCAGTCATGATCCACTGATCATGACTGCAGTGCTTTGCACTGATAAATGCACAGCTTGAAGTTGCTCTTTTAAAGGCAAAATATATAAATATAGATCATATGATATAAAACCTTCTATTGGAATGTGTACAGCCAGACATGCAAAGATTTCTTATGGACCACACTCAGCTCCATTAATGAAGCCAATTAAAGTATTTTACACAACATTACATCTAGCATGATGCATAAGTGAAAATAATTGCCGTATTTATGCGTTTTTGCTTTTTAATATTTCTGAAAGCACTCCTCTTTGGGAGGTTGGTGAATGTTTAGAATTCCGGTGTGTGTATGATTTTTATACGTAACAGTGGACTGGTTTAAGGGCGAATTCATATCTGTCAAGAACGGACAGCTGCCGAAGCAATTTACCTCCCCACCAGCGGTCCGTTCCCAATTGTAGTAGGGGGCAGTGTGGTGCGCAATTTAGCGCATCACACACAGCCCTTTTTTTTTTTCCTTGTGCAAACTTTATTTGAAGTGTACAAAACTACATTTCATTAATGGCACTGTACAGCAGACTGTACAGTGCAGGGGTGGACTGACCATTTGGAAATTGCACAGCCCGAGGGCCCGGGGCCAGTAGGGGGCCCCATGAGATGCCCCTGGTACCTTTTTCATAGGCTTTTTTGAGTTTGGGCAAGGACACAGGGGCCCCATGATCCCCTATTGCCCGGGGGCCCCATGAGTTCTTAGTCCTCCCCTGGTACAGTGCCATACAGTTCTATAGAGCGTGCTGCTAGTTTCTCTCTGTTTATCTTTTGAATACTTTCTCCTGCCTGCGGTAATCTGGTGACATCATCTCAGCCTAGGGAAAGTCACTAGGCTGTAGTTTAAAGGCTAATTGCATCTTTCGCAGCATGTTTTGTGTTACACCCCATATTATGTTGTAACATGGTGCCATTCCCCAGCTCCCGCACCCTCAAAATACCACCCCCCACCCACACACACACTTATCTGAGTCATGGGGTTCTTCTCCTAACAGGCTAAATGTTGAATTCAGCACAGATGTGTGTTGGTTTGTCGGAACAGAATGTCACCCATTCACAGAAATCTGTAAATGGAGAGCCTACAAGTCCCATCTGCCTCTTGGAACTTGTAGTTCTCAATGGAGCAGAAGTGCACTGACATTACCACACTTGTAGTCCATTCTTCCAATCTTGTAACCTGTTTATCTGGAGCCTTCTTTTCTCTACAGCCTCCTAAACCACAGTTAAACACAGCATTTCTGAGCTGTAGCAGGCAGGGGGTGGGAATTTGGTGTCTCACGCTGCAAGGTATAGAGCAGAGATCTGAGTGTAATTGGAAACATGAGTGGAAGAAAAAGGCACACCCCCATGGTATCGGCATTACCTGTCCCAAGTGACTCACGCAGATAGCAGAGGAAAGAGAGAGCAGATAGGAACCTCACTAGGTATGATGGTGCAAGTGCACCCTATAGAAGGATATGCTTTTTTTCATTGCAAACTTTTACAACCATTTTAACTGCTTCTGCGCTGCCCTATAGCAGAAATACTGCTACAGAGCAGCACGGGTGCACAAAATCACGTATATATGAGTTTGCAATTCCGGGAAGGGGGCATGCACGCACCCTACCCACTCCGCCATTCGCGACCTCGGCTGTCAATCACCGCTGGCCAGTGATTCCCTGCCAGCACTCGGCGATCTCTGAGTATTACCGATGGGGGAGAGACCTGTATGGAAACAATACAGATCTCTCCCCTATCAGCTCCTGAACACTGCTTTGTATGGCTTTGCATAACAGAGCCATACAAAGCAGTGTGCTTACAATGAAACACAGACACAGTACACATAGTAAAACAGCACACAGTTAACCCTTTGATCGCCCCACATGTTATCCCCTTCCTGCCCAGTGTCATTAGTACAGTGTCAGTGCTTTTTATTAGCACTGATCACTGTATTGGTGCCACTGGGGATGTCAGTGACACCAAGTCAGTTTCCACTAGTGTCAGAATGTCTGCCGCAGTCCCGCTATAAGTCGCTGTATGCCCCCATTAGTAGTAGAAAAAAAAAAATATTCCAGTATATATACCGCCATTTGTAAACGTTATAACTTTCATGTAAACCAATTAATTTACACGTATTGGGATTTTTTTTAGCAAAGACATGTAGCAGAATACATTTTGGCCTAAATTTATGATGAAATTGATTTTTTAATTTTTTTACTGAACATGTTTAATAGCAAAAAGTAAAAAATTTTGGGTTTTTTTTTTTTTAAATTGTTGATTTTTTTGTTTATAGCGCAAAAAAAAAAAAAAAACCACACAGACGATCAAATACCACCAAGAGAAAGCTTTATTTGTGGGGGGAAAAAGGACATAAATTTAATTTGGTTTCAGCGTTGCATGACCGTGCAATTGTCAGTTAAAGTAACGCAGCGCCGTATCGCAAAAAACGGCCTGGTCATGAAGGGGGGTAAATCCTCTGGTGGGCAAGTGGTTACATTGAATTCTACTTTAACGACTGTTTTTAATGATAAAAGGTGCCATTCCTTTCAGAAATAATACTGTTACTGTATACTGTAACAAGTCAGAAATGTATTCATGCCGACTTGTACAGTTTTTGAAAGACGCACTTCAAAGTGAACAACTTTCCAGTGAGTTTACGCCAATTATTCATAATCCAACAAATAAAATCAGATAAATGAGAAAAGTGGCATTTTTTTTTGTATTTACTCACACACATTACCAATGGAAGATACTTAAAAGGAAATGTAAAAAGAGAAAAAAAAAACTAAAATGACACACGATGTCTAGCTTTGCTAATAGCAAATAGCAGAACTGGCGGATCGGCTGGACATCTCAGATGTTTACCCGTACCATAAAAAAGCAAACTAGACTGTGTGCACAGCACATGTACCTTGCAGAGTCCACATACTGCTAACATCACAACCTGCGCTCTGCAGGACACAACCAGTGAGTGATCTCTACTCTTCTACGTGCAGAGCTCTGCGGCAGGAGAGAAAAATAAATGGCTTGCACAGGTGTTAAATCATTCTGCTCTGTCCCCACAGCCCCCGATATCTGCCTGTGCACCCTGTCAACGGCTAAACCTTTTTTTTTTCTTTTAGGAGGACCTGTCATATGTATGCAGCAGATCATTAAAGCTTAACTCCTGCCTTACCTACAGTCTTGCATAATTGTACAGGCTCCTTTCCTTTACGGATATTGCTTATTCCGATCTCACTGCACACTGTAAGCTTCTCACAGAATGCATTAGAAGGTGCTTCAGGTCAGATAGAGCCAGGGGCGGACTGATAACTCATGGGGCCCCCGGGCAATAGGGGATCATGGGGCCCCTGTGTCCTCGCCCACACTCAAACCACACCCAAAAAAGCCTATGAAAGGTACCAGGGGCATCTCATGGGGCCCCCTACTGACCCCGGGCCCTCGGGCAGTGCCCAAGTTCCCAAATGGTCAGTCTGCCCCTGGATAGAGCCCACCTTTTTTCCTGGCTGGAGACCACCCAGATGTCACCCAGGAGATCTGACATGTTGGTTGGTGGGATTTTTCTCTTGCAGCAAGGTGGAAGACATCGTTTATTGTGATTGATGTGGATCTGCATCCAGGGGCGTATATACCATTAGGCACTTGCCTAGGGTGGCGTTTATTAGGGGGGCAGCACCTCCCCCCAGACGAAGAGATGAAAGAAAGGACAAGCGTGCCATGGGAACCAGGTGGGATCCGAGAGAGGCTGCGTCTGCTTGATGATGTATGTAGAGCCTGACTCAGCCATAAAGCCCCACCTCTTTACTTTTAGCACAGGGCCTAGATTCGGTGGCAAGATCTGACGTTAGTTGGTGGGATTTTGCTCTTACAGCAAGGTGGCAGACATCGTTTATTGTGGTCGATGTGGATCTGCATCCAGGGGCGTATATACCACAAGGCAAACAAGGCACTTGCCTAGGGCGGCGTTTTTTACGGCGGCAGCACCTCCCCCAGAAGAAGAGATGAAAGAAAGGACAAGTGTGCCATGGGAACCAGATGGGATCTGAGAGAGGCTCCGGGCTGCTTGATGGTGTATGTAGAGCCTGACTCAGCCAGGAAGTCCTGCCAATATACTCGCCTCTATACTTTCAGCACAGGGCCCAGATTTAATTCGGTGGCAAGATCTGACAGTGATTGGTGGGATTTTTCTCTTACAGCAAGGTCGCAGACATCGTTTATTGTGATCGATGTGGATCTGCATTGAGGGTTGTACCAATATCATTTTTTTACCCGCGAGTATGAGTGCAGGTACCTGGGTACCAACACCTTTTCGGTGCTATTTGAGGCCATACGACATTTTTTGATAAATGGTTTCCCCTTTGCTGCACTAATAGATGGCGCTAATCTGTCCTTCTATACTGGGTTCACACAGGAACAGTGGGGGGAAAACTGCATGCGATTCGGACAGGAATCACACCGCCATTCATTTTTTATTGGCTCAAATTGCACAGCATTGTATCAGGTTCAGGTATTGGGAGCATGAGTACAAGTACCAGTATCAGCATCGGTGCAACCCTACTTGTGGGTTTAACTATTCTTTTTTTTTTTTGTCTAATTCTCCTTTGTGGCAGGGGTGTGTGTCTCATGCCTACATACATTTGCGAATAGGTGTCCCTCATTCATATCATGCAAAGTTGGGAGGAATACTTAAAGGAACTTTGCATTTTAGGTTTTCATGCACACTGGGCATTTTAAAAACGCCAGCTGCGTTAGCTGTAAAAAGTCATGTTAAAAACGTGAGTTTTTCCCACATTTTTTAGCGTTTTTGCATTAACGCGCGTTTGCATTTTTAGCTCTTTTTAACAAGAAAAAAAAATTTTGGCTAAAAAAAAAAAAAAAAAACGCTGGTTTGCTGTGTTTTACCGCATTTTTCTGCATTTTTTTTGTCGCGGTTACCAGCGTTAGAGCGTTTTTCCAGCTAAAAAACTCCTCTAGAAACCCACTAGTTCTGGGGGGTTTTTACCAGCCAAAAAAACGCCCCTGCCAAAAAATGCTGATTACAGTCTATGTGCGCATGGACACATAGGATAACATGCTGAGGAGTTTACTGGCTGTAAAAAAAAAAAGCTAAAAGCTAAAAACAGCCGCTGTAAAAACGTCCAGTGTGCATGAGAACTTAATGTTGACCTTAAAGTGTAAAAGTAAAAATGCTGCTTCTCTCAATCTTTTTTGCTTTGGTACATGTCTGAGGGCAGTGTCCAGCCCCCTGTGCCATTTGTTTGACAATCCTTTGCATATTATCCTAGAAAATTGCCATTACTTTTTATAAAGTATATGTGAGCCCTCACCCTGTGCATCCCCGTGTAGGCAGTCCCATTCATGTCAATTGGGATGCAGTGGCTACACAGATACAGCTGCTGCTCTCAATTTAGCATCAGTGTGGGCGCAGATGCAGGGCCCCAAATGCAGACAGTGTGCTCTCAGGCCTGTGCCCCTGAACCCATTTGAGTGTCAAAATAAGAACAGCGGTTGTGTCTGTGCAATTGCTACGACCCAATTTACATGAATGAACTGCCTGCACAGGAATGCTCTGAACACATCTGAATCCCCATGCGGGTATATATGGCCCTCGCTCAGTGTGAACAAGGCCTAACTATCCAAGAAAGGAAGGGAGGGGGGTATAGAATACTTATATTTATTGACTGAGCAGAGTTCAGCTTTAAGACCTCATATTCACATTATAAATGCCTTTCTCACACCAAACGTTTGCACGCAGCTACATTTTTTTTGTCTTCTTAATTTGACTTCTAGAAAATATTGCATCACAATAAATTATTCAGATGAGCCGGCTTTTCATCTTCCGAGACACATCTTCATGTGATATTTTAACAACTATTTATTTAATACCAGACCAGAAATCTCCCGAATGCCTACTATCACAGCCCTAGGGCATATTTCTTAAATAAAAGATCTCGATCTTTGTATACCTAAAATTTGCATACTAAAGGAAGGAGCCTGCAGTTTGCAACCGAGGCCGTTCACCTCCTTCGTCATCATTTTTTTTTTTTTTTAATAATTAAAAAAAAAAAATGATCAACTCGATTGCTGGATTTTGAGAATTACGACAAATTTAATTTACTCTTTGCAGCTACAACACGTGGCGTTTGATCATATTTTGTGAGCAGATTTCTTTGTGCAAGGAACAACACTGAGTCCGGTAAATTCAACACCTTTTAGATGTACTGGACAGCTTAATAGGACTCAGCAGGGGAAAAAAAAAAAGATTTAGTCATCTGCATCAAGCGAGGCTGGAAGATAGCGTCTGATCATTGACATCATTTGCATACAAATTTATAGCCTGCACTAGATAAAGGTTAAAGAAATAAATGAGCATTTTGGCACCATTGCGTATGCGCTCGCCAGAATATAATTTAGAATGTTTGTGCTGTGAATCATAACATCAATAAAGGTAATTATAGATGGTTGTTAACTTACCTTAATTCTTACTAATTGCCGTACACCTTTGTGACAACAACACACTCTCCTATTTTTTAATGTGTCATTCCGAAGTGCCTTGTTTTGACTAACGATTCATCAACATCTATACATAAAATACAAAACAAGAGCTGGTTGTGAAAGCCGCGTGATGCACGGGGATTGACACAACAGCGATTAAAGCGGAACTAAAGGTAAATAATGAAACACTACTAGCAAGTAGGTCTCAGGGCTGGTTTACACCTGAAATGTGACCTGTGTGATTCCTGTGCGACGTTTGGTGCGATTCAAATGAATGGGCTGAAATTGCACTGAATTGCACCAAACGTAATGCACTACTTTAAAAAAAATGCACTTCACTTCATGGTACATTCAACGCAGTGCAGGCAAATGCATTGTGTTTGCGATATGCATTTGGGGTGTTCTTAGGACTATATTGACACCCGTAGCAGATTGCACATACAGTGCGGGAAAAAAGTTCACAGAATGTAGTTTCCCGCAACACATGCCAGTGTGAATGAGCCCTCAGTGGTGCAATGCAACAACAAACACGTACCTACCT